GTAATCGTCCATCTTGGCTTGAAGTTCCTTCATCTGAGCAGCCAAACTAGTCATCAAAGAGTCTTCAATCATGACTTCGGAAAAGATTTTTTTCAACTCGTCCTCAGCTTTGTTGATCTCCAGAAGCAAAGACTCTTTTCAGATACGGCGCGAAGATATTGAGTACTTTTGGCCTTCAGTTCAACATTCTTGGTCAGCAAGGAGAGGACCTCGGAATGGACAACTTTCAACGTATCTTTAAAATCAGCAGAAAGATTGAGCGATGGAAGTGTCAGTGCTTGCTCCAATTTCGCATTCAAATGCTCGAGCTTATCCTTATGCTTGGCAGCACTAGCCTTACCGATGTCCATATCCATGAAGGACACATACTCAAATATCGACTGCTTGAGGAACTTCATATCTTCCTCTGAAGAAGCAGAAGGACAACTGACTGAAGCAGGGCGAGATGTCTTGACTTGTCCCCAGGAAGTGAACAAGTCTTGAATAGAACGCACAATTTTATCAGCATCCTGCAAAGAAAATCGCCAATATTGAAGGTTTCCACTACACTAAACAAAGTGGAGGTAAAGGTGAAGCAAAGATTACCTCATCAGCAATCTTGGAAGGTGGCATATCCCCAGCCAAATCTGTCATCTGTGACTCCACCATTCGTGAGGACTTCTCCTTGTCTAAGCGAGAAGACCTTGCCGCAATGGGTAGACTCATGGGAGCATCTACAGAACTCAAAAGGTAACAAATCAAAACCAATAGTACAAGCAAAGGTAAAGCATCAAAAAATGAATTACCTTCTGCTTCAACGTTTGGGGGATCAACGCCCTGGGAAAAAGGTGACTCGTCCATTGGTTGTGATGAAAATTCTGGGATTTAAGATTTCTCTTTAAGCGTAGTCCCTTCATCAGCTGGTTTGGACGAGGCAACCCCAGTAGAAGATGATGGAGCAGGAGTTGCCAACACCAAAGCCTTCAAGAGAGAGGCTGAACTTTTATGAGAAGTCCAAATAAACTATCAGCACATAGAAAAGTTTCAAGTATGGAGAGGTATGCTTATGAGTAAACTAATTTAATTACCTTCCTCCTAACGATGAGAGGGGTGTCATCAGCATCATCCTCCAAAATGGGAGATGCTGAGGCGGGCTTTGCGGCTTGGGGAACTTTTAGCTGCAGTGGGCTTGGCAGGAAGAGAAGCCGATGGACGGGCATATTGTTTAGCACGAGCAGAGGAAGAGGGACTCCTAATGGACACAGGAGTGACCAAAACAGGAGAAGTGGAAGAAATGTTTGGCTGGTCCAGTGAATGAAAAGCTCGATTGTCATCAATCGCAAACAATTTGTTCTTCACTGACGGCCAGAGTCATTCAAAAAGGGGATGGATGGCATGACTAGGATTGAAGGGGGCTAATGAAAAGTTGCTCGTCAAAAAAATATTGCGAGCATTTATAGCCTGTGCCTCTGCCTTATTAATAGTGTGAAAGCGGTCTATCAAATTCCTTGAATAGCAAAGGGGAACGGGCCAAGTCTGGCTAAAACCAAGTTGGGGAGCAAAAAATTGGGGAGCATATATTTCTACCCCAGCTTTGGCATTGGTCCCAGTCAAAATATCATGGAACAAATCCCTCCCGATCAAAAACTAAATCCAAACGAACAAGGAAGTGCTTGCACCATCCATAGTGGATGGAGGTTGCACATAATCCGGAGTCAAAAGGGGAGGAAAAGGAAAGAAGGAATAGATTGAATCCAAAGTATAAAAGAATGAAAAAATGTCCCATCTGAACATATTTACAGGAGTCGGGGGATCAATGGCTAGCCTATAGCAGCTAGCAGAAGGACTGGAAAAGGATGGAGCACCAAGCGATGGAAAATAGGCTCTCAACCACATTTGAGTGAACCAAAGAGGCCCACTGCCAGTGGCAGATGCACCATTCTTCAATTGGGATCGAAGCGAAGCCATACCTCTATAGAGGGGAGCTAAAAAGAAAGAACACAAATTCAGAGGCCTACCACGCGCCAATTCGTGTGCTATGGGTAAATAGATCATGGAGGGCTTTATGCTTGGCACACACAAAATGTATTTACAAAGCCAAATCAGAAGAAAGGTCACTCGCTCAGTATGGGAAGGCTCAGCACTCGAGTGGTTATGAAGGGTTTGCAGGCTTGAATAAGACTCGGTGAGGCCTCTATCAAATTTTGGGGCCCGACACCAAAAATTAAAAAAGCAGGGAAAATGGTATCGCCCAAAGGTGGTAGATTTACTAGGGCTTCAACATCCCTTAAGGTAATGGACATGGGGCCAATAGGGAAAACAAAAGTATTATACTCAGAAGACCAAAAACTTAAAGCGATTGGAAAAAAGCGCTGAATCAAAAATAGGGGGTTGAAGAGAGATTTCTGACAACCTTAGTAGGACCATGGTCCACAAGGCGAGCATGCCATCTACGGAAAACGACATCAGATTTAGACCAAGTGCGAATACTTCTTTCGCGAAGTGGCCCCAGCGGCAAAAAATTTAGAAATGGAGGGCCTTGAGTACAAAGGAACAGCTGACCGACCGCCGCTTGTTCGATGGCCCCGGCATTGTTGAATAAAGGACCTAGATAGAACTCATTGAGTTCGACATTGGCTGGTGCAAGGAAGTTCGAAGTTATATATGGCCGAGTAAAGAGTTTCTGAAAGTCTTCGAAACTGAAGGAGTCACCAAACTGGGATTGTGAAGCAGCCATTAGGGACGAAATAGAGTTTTTCAGAGTTACGTAGCAGAGAAGCAAGGAGATGAATAGTAATATTGCGAGAGAGAAGCACGAAAAAATGAGGCGTGATTTAGTGGTGCAATGAAATGGCGTATTTGGGGGTTATAAGGGTTTGCAAACGTCGCACCTTTTCAAGCTATAGAAGAAAACAATAATTGAAATTCTTGGGAATTTCAAATGTTGTTGGAAAACACAAAGTGAATATGGCAAAAATTAATAATTGGTATTAATTCTGCCATATTGGGGGTTAATTGTTGACACACAAAAAGTTCAGTCCAAGTCGAATAGCCCAAAGAATGAAACCCAATTAGAAGATCCCCAAAATCAAATAGCCCAAAGAACGACCCAATCGAGCAATGCAGGATAAAGACCCAAATAGGGAAGCCCATGAACGCGGTATTACCATCGCCCAAGGTTACAAGTCGCCCAAGATTTGAGCGAATGAATTGCCATGCAGTCGCCCAGAATTGAGCCCCTGTTCTCGCCCAAACCTTCGAGTTGTCCAGGATCTTAGCAAACGTAAGATGTTATGGTTACCCAAAGGTGCGGTTAATGAAGCAGTTATTGAGTAGCCCTATCACGTTCCACGATTCAAGGAATTCAATTGAAGAGTTGAAAGACAAAAGTAATGAAAGCAGTTAGAGAAGGCAGTTCCATGACAAGTTGGCCACTACGAGGAAAGTGGGCAGTTATAGAGCGATCAAGCAGTTTTTAAGCGGTTGATCACGAAGAGATCATCCATGGAGTATAAAAGGAAGAAAAGACATAGAGCAAAGAACTCTGAATCAAACACTCTCAAACAGAGAATATGTAACTTTAAATTTCTTAGTTTAGATTTAAACACTTCTTTTTCAGTAACTCGTGTGCTTGCGCCCCTTGGAGGCATTCTGTTTTTATTTTCCAATTGTAAAGTCATCGCCAATAAAAACATTCATTTTTAGTCTCAAGAGGTTTGTCCCTTACACAATCGTCTGATCCCTTTTTAATTATTAACGACTAACCCGCGCGAAACAACAAGTAACATTATTCAACTTTTAAATCTAATGGTATTGTATTAAGCCCCTTGCCTCGTAGCCCCCCTTCAAATATTAGTTGTTTATTGCTTCATATTTGTTCAATTATAAACATTCGCTTTTAGCATGTATTGGGCTAATTTATAAATGATGATCAAATTTCATTTTCAATTAGGCTTTTCAAATTTCAACGAATCTATAAATACTATTCATTTATCCATTATTTGTTTTTATCTATTTATATGCGCTGTAAGTGACAACAAAAAAGAAATTTTTTAAACAAAAGTACATAATCTGCACATCAAATGCCTCATGGCTTGGTCAAAGTTGTTGGTTCTATTGTGCATTTGTTGGGTATCGTCACCTGTCTTGATCTCTTGATCTCGATCACTTCTTCAAGAATGAAACAATTTTTTTACCTCACTTAAATATGTCCAATTTGAATAGGTCACAATTTATTCCTAGCCAATGCTCCAAGCAGTAGTAATATAATAAGTCAGGATTGCCCCCCAGGGCATAGCTTAGTAGTGCAAAGGACAGGAGTAAGGTTATCTCATGCCTTGATGGTAGCTGCATTGTGGAGGTTCGATTCCTGAAACATGAAATTTGACTCTTCGTAAGCGCAGTGTACAGATAGCTCTTGTTCCCTGGCCTGTTGGGGTATATCTCGCGATTTATCTTCCTCACAAAGTTCTAGGAGCGGGACGGTAGAGGCCCTCAAAATTGGGGGTTCAACCTTTTTTTAATATAATATGTCAGGATGATAGAATTTAAACCAGTGACATTTTGTATAAAAAACAAACGAGTAATTAAGCTGCACCACATCCTTCAATCGCTCTACAATGTGTATAGAATTTCCGTCTTGTTTTCCGAAATATAATTTTTATAATTTTTATTTAAGTATTTTACATATAATGTCATTTTTATCGTTATTCAATCTATTTCTTTATTTCTCTATGAATTTGACGCTTGGTTTACATTCATTCTGTGGTAGAGGTATTAAGCTTTCATCAAATTTTCGTAAGATGGATCACTATATTATTTATTTTATTTTATTTACATGTCAATAAACTAGGAAATCATTCTATAATCCAAGAACTCTTGACATTGAAGCGAAGAGAAAAAAATAAAAAATAAAAAATATGAAACTGTGGTTTCACTGTCCAAACCGGACCATTTATTCCCTAACAACTTGTTCTGGTAAATGGAAGCAAAATATAGGAATGAGGAAATAAAGAAGAGTATAAGAAAAGATTAATAAAGCTTTTGTATGGTCTAAAGAAACCTTGATAAATAGTTTTCAAGCTATAACAAGTTATGATCCAAAGAACTCCATGAGAAAACACCATTTTAACAAGGGATATATTACTTGTACATAATGCGGTGTCTATAACAGTGTTCACGCTCCATACATAGAGAGAGACCCACTTTAGATAAATTATATTTCATTCGAAGTGGGTCCCCTTCCATGTGAAGGGCGTGGACACCGTTATGAACACTCTAATTTACGTGTAGCATAACCCTTTTAACAATCACTAGAGTATACACTCACAGATCAATAGGGAAAAAAAAGAAAAGAAAATAAGAAACAGCATTTTCTGCTCAAATACCCATAAATAGCCGGCACTGTGACTCCCAATGCTCCTTCACCTCCTGAATTCTCTCCGTTTTTTCAGTTTTACGACGTTCCTTCCAATACTCAGGGCAGCTGTTTCAAACATTGCACAAGTTAGATAAACGGTAGCTAGTATCTTACATGTATGCACACAACTAGGAGCATGTTTAGCATGTAGTAATGGACTTTATAATATATATATAAGATTTCAGCTATAATACCGTCTAGTGCTACAGAATGTTCCCTACCAAACATGTTATTAGAATTTTAGTTCACCTTCGGTTCAATAGAATGTGTAGCTCCTCTAAGTGTACAGCACCTTCATATACCCCTGCCTGAAATCAATCAATAGAATGTATGAACAATGAGGTGGATGTTTAGAGAACATATAAACGAGAGTTGTCGATATTAGCGGTGGTCTGGTACTACTCTCGTTTAAACATACGAGGGTTCTATCTCAACAACAAACCAAGCCTTATTATAAAATCATGGTCGGCTACATGAATCTTTTTTTCCCCCCCGCTCCGTTCGACTTCTTGTTGTACGAGGGTTCTAGTTACTTAGCCTTGTTTGGAAGGTGGTTAATTTATGAACGCTTTCGGTTAAACCTACTTTTTATCCCATACGTTTTGTAGGATTCAAAAATACTACACATGTATCCACCACTCATTTATATTTGTATATAATTTAAACTGATTATAATCAATTAATCACCTACCAAACAAGCTTAGTGAAAATCCTAACTTGTAATATTCAGATATATATTAAGCCCTTGTTTGAGCCCCATTTTGGGGTATAGAATGAATTTTTGAATAGTGTATTGATGTGAAATGTGTGGTTAAAAAATATAGAAAAGTTTTAGATATGTGTGTAATATTATTTTATTGAAAAATGTGTGGTTGAAATGATGTCAAAACACTGTTAAAAAATGCATTTTTACCAAAGAATGGGGATCAAACAAGGGCTAAATATCTGCACGTAAAAATTCCAGACGGCAGTGACAGAAAGAAGAAGAAGAAGAAGTCACCTCTCGACATATGGGACATTTTTCCTTGGGATTTGCTGCCTTCAACCCATCCACTATGGTCACGGACGCAGCTTTGCATGCACACATGCAGCAGAAGATATGACCACAAGTAAGAGATACCGGATCAAATACTGGATCCTGTTAGAAACACATCATTAAGCAGCTCGACTATGAGAGATGTGAAATAGATGATAAATTTGAGATTCTACAATCAACAATCAAGAATAATCCTAAAAATGCATGTCATCTATTTCCCATCTGTTTCTGAGCAAGATTTCAAAACGGAAATTTGTTTTTGGAGTAATTATCTTTTTTCATTTTCAATTTTACTGTGAAATTTTTGTATTTCTTTTCAAACTTAAATGAAAAGTATTCAATTTTCTCTAATCAGCCTCCATGGAAAGCTGGCATGAACCACTCGTAATGCAACCTTATATAACTACTATAGTTCGAGCTTGTTTATGTTTATTCGACTGGTCCATACCTCCCTACATCACTGCGAAACAAAAACAATTGTGCATTCAAGTGATACAGATTAACTTACGAGGAACCTGTCCTCAAAATAAAAGGAAAGAGGGAAAAGATACCAAGTGAGTAGCAGTACTTTATAGCAAGATCCGGGCACTTACCAAGCATATAGAACAAGTCAAGTCAATGTCAAGCTTGAATGAATCAAAGAGCTCACAAGAGAGAGATGGTTTTCCATCATTCAATATGAGAGAACACCCTTCAAAAAGGGCAGGAGCCTTTTTCATTTTCGAATTAGTGTCTCTCAAGTTTATGTGAAAAGCCATAAGCTCGCACAGCCATGGAGATTGAAGGATCTCAATATGCTTACTTTGAGCTTGAGACTTGAATGCTTGACCTTGCTTAGAATAGTGAATCTATATTAAAAAAAAGAAAGAAAATATGAATGGAGAATATATAGTGCTTATGCTCGACCTCGAGTATTAAAAATAGTACCTTATCATATTTCTTCAGTATTTTACGCATAGCAATGGCGTTGATTAGAGCATATGTTACCAGGTCCCGGCCTTCTTGAATCAGTGCTGCGTGACTCCCATGTGACTTACCTTTCAACCAGATAAAACACTTGTGGAAACCTGATGCCAGGTGCACCTCAAGCAATCTCTGGGCATGTTTGTTGAAGAACCCAACCACATCAGACATTTCCTTACAAAGTGAAGGGAAAAAGGTTCCATCGCAGACTAAAAAGCACATTAGAATCTTAATCAAAATAAGGAGGAGGGCATCATATGAATTAATGCTTCAAATTACAAGGGTACAGTCTTCAGCAGGTAGCATTTACAGGTACTGAACATGGGATTTAACAAAGCTTTCAAGATACAATAGTAGCATACCAAGGACTATATACAAGCGCCAGCAAAAATGTCCATTTTCAATTGTAATTTCGACATTGCCTGCAAAAGGTATGTTAATATACAGACTTACTCCCACCTAAGAATCGCACACTAATGGAGTTTATCTTAAGAATTTTCCCCTTTCCATTTTCCCTATTGTATTTTTTCCATTTCCGAAACGTAGACATGAAGTTCTAACTCCACTAACTGTACAGTTTTTTTTCTTTGGTGCTGTGGGTGTACTATTTTGTAATATCATTTATGAATTTTGATGCAGAAAAAATTGGATTTTGAATTAACTCAACAGAAACAGAACTTCTTTTGATTCCCATTCAAGTATTCAAAATTTTCTTCTCTTAGGTGATCTGTCCAATATCAATCCAACCTGCAAATCCTAATCTTGAATAATTTTTTTTGTCTAAGCTTCTGGTGCTTAATGAAATATTCAGAAAACAAACACCATTCTCTTCACAAAGTATTCAATATCTGCAGTCCTCCATTTGGCAAGAACAAAATTACCAGAATGGTGTTTAATCAAGAATTCAATACATAATAGCGAAGAGTATATAATCACTTCTCCAGAAACCAAAATTATGAAAACTAGTTAGGCATAAAGATACACAAGTTTATATAAAACACCAGTCACGAGGAACCCCAATGCTCTGGATGAAAGAATCAAAGAAATCGGCCTATACTCTTCCAAAAACCCAAAATTATGAAAATCAGTTAGGCATATACACACATGTGACTATATATAAACACCAGTCTGACGAACCCAATGCTGTAAATGAATAAAGAATTCAAGACCCAGTAACAAATCAGCATATAATTACTCCTAAAACCCAAAATCATGAAAATCAGATAGTTATATATACAAGTGACTATATAGCAACACCAGTCGTGAGGAACCCAATGCTGTAAATGAATCAACGAGTATAATTACTCATCCAAAACCCAAAATTATCAAAATCAGATATACATACATACGCAAGTGAGGATAAAAGAACCTGGGCAATGCCGTGGGCAAGTGGAGCCGGAGGTGTCATGAAGAATCCCATCACCATGAGAATGAACCTGTTTCCTGCATCTTTTCAAGATTTTCTTGAGTTTTTTTAAACCAACCCCAGGCAGTTTCTTATGGCCCTGCCCTTGCATGTACTTTTCATATTTCTTGCAAAACTTCATATTTCTATATTTCTTCCCGTCATAAACACAACACCTTGTTACAATTTTCTCTTCCTTTTTTTTTTTCCTTCACCAGTAGTGAAAACCTCTGAGATTTTGTGTGTGAATATGATTTATATTTCTTTATGAATATCTCGTAAGGGTTATCTACTCAAATAACTGCTCAAATGACACCTGATGCAGATGACAGCGAAAGGCAGAAAAAGTCAAATTTATGTTGTTTTCAGAGAAGTTCACGGAAACTGGTTGAAAATTGGGCATTAACAATCTCAAATTTCCCCCAAAAAAGCTTATGTGGGTGTTTACGGGTTATCATGGATCATGGATAACAGCTATTAATTTTCATAGTTGTTCCCGTGGGTGTTTACGGGTTATCATGGATCATGGATAACAGCTATTAATTTTCATAGTTGTTCCCATGAAATTGCCTTGTTAATTTTAATTGATAGTATTGAATGTTTGTTTGGTGGAGCTTATAAGTCAAGATTCTATTAAATGTGTGAATAATAAATGAGTAATAAAATGTTTGTTTGGTAGAGCTTATAAGTCAAGATTCTATTAATTGTGTGAATAATAAATGAGTAATAAATTATAAATCCTAAGTAACATGTGGAGCCAACGTACTTTGACCCACTATGCACAAATAATTCATCCATACATAATCGACTATATTTTGTTACTTTTGCGTTAATATTATTATATTTTGTATTTAATTTTTTTCTTAATTAAATTAGGCTATCATTGTATTAGAGTATTGACTCCGTCACTTGCTATCATAGTCCATATAAGTAATAAAAATCCATATTAACTTGGAACACCAATAAGAAAAGTTTATAGCCTCATGATGAAGCATACTTTGCTTTAAATATTGGGATTTAGTTATTGTTTTCTTTATATGTTTTTCTAAAAGGATTTCTTATTTTTTAAATGTGATTTGTTGCGGGATTAACACGTCAAATGCCTTTAATGCACATTAAAAAATTCGCGAGCAAGAAAATGATTAGTTAACTACAATCCTACCGTACAAGAAAAGATGGTATTTGTTTCAAGAGTCGTGTAAACTTTCAACCATTTTTCCGAGAGAGTTGATAGTATTGAGATTTCTAGATGTTGATATCATAAATACATTGACAAACACGGCATAACATATTTCATTCGAAGAACCATGTGAACTCTCAACCAAATTGAAAGTGCTACAAATAGATAACACCTAAAATGGGAAAGGTGGGAAACAGCTTTCTGGCCTTTTGAAAAAGTTCAAATATGAATTGTTTTCGTTTAGGGAAAAGTCTTTTTGTGTTATCTGTTGGCCTTAGCGTCTAACTCAAAAAAAGGTTAAACCCTAACCTTAAGGGTCCCCCACCACCCCTATCCTGGAGTATCGTGAGGGAGGTAAATCGCAAGTTATGCCTTCAAGGGTACAGGGTGGAAGACTACTTTTACATTTGCACTTACCCAAGAGCATCTAACTCAGTTTTACACACACGTTCAATCTATAGTTGCAAAATCATACTGTGACAAGCATTAAGAATCGAGATTTCATCTCAAAACGTTAACGATGTTGATGAAGTAGTTGAGTTCTTTCTTAGGCCCCGTTTGATCTTCTTTTCAATCACACATTCTTTATTAAAATAATATTATACGTAAATCAAAAAAAATTCTTTATTTTTCAACCACACATTTTCCATCAATTTACTATTCAAAAATGCATTTTTACATAAAAATATCTTTCAAACACCCTCTTAGTCTCATTATCTTCCTATGTTTAACCGATGTTGAATGTATCTCGCATGTTACTAACAATCCTTTCCTCAAATGAAGTATTTCATGCTCAATCAAGTTCAGGTCTTGAATTGAATTAGTCATGAGCACGACCATCTTGTGAGCTAATCACATATTTTTTGGGCCGACACGGTCCAACTTGGGCCCCACCACTTTCATTTGGTTATGACTAAAGACGTATGTTGTGCTTTCACTAGGTTGAGTTTGGTACGTAACTTACCGGAATTCCATCCAAAAGACTAAGGGTGGGTCTGAGCCCCTTTTAATTTTAAAAAATGTTTTATGGAATAGTAGATTGATGAAGAATGTGTGATTAAAAAAGAAGGAAAAAATTTTGATCTGCGTGTAATATTATTTTAATGCAAAAAAAAAAAAAAAAAGAGAAATAATATGAAAAGCCAGAGCCAACAGATTTTGCCGAGCCGTGACCATCTCGACTATGTTCTTTGGAATGATATTGACATTTAAGGATATTATAAATGGACTCATTTAGTATATATTTTAAGATAAGTGTGTATTATTAATTTAATATTTTACCTTAAGTACTGAAGTCTGTAATCAAATTTATTTTGGACACTAATAAGAAAGTACGTGACCTCATGATGAGGTCCTGAATTTTAATTAGTCCTTTTTTCACGTTTCTCTTTAAAAAAAATAAAAAATAAAAAGAGCCTTGCATTGAGAGTGATTGAATTAAATTTCTTGCCTTGCGTGTCAATGAACATCTCTAACAATAAAGAATTATCTTTGTAACAACTGTCAAAGAAGAGAGAGTTTTATAATAAAAAGTAAAAAACTATAATTTTATCAGAAAAATAGTGTGAAAGTTCAAGTGTTTCAACCGTATTTCCAACAGATTGAAATTTCGAGATGGTGATATCATAAATACATTCACAAACAGGGCATAACAATCAACCAAAAATCATGTGAAATCTTTTCTTTATCATATTGTCGAGCATATATCTAACTCATCATTCGTATGAGCAATATCTTTCAAGTTTTATTATTATTGTTGTTGTTGTTGTTGTTGTCGTCGTCGTCGTCGTCTTAAAAGATTACTTTCTTTACAACGATAGATATTTAAAAGCAAAGCCACCACTATTACTTTAGTGATGAAAAATATGCTAAGATGAACGGTCTAAAGCCTTGTTGGGCAGTTGAAAAAACTCAAGTGTGTTTATATATAAACATATTTGTGATGTCTATTTCAGCGTGGCAGCAAAAAAAGAGAGAGAAAATATATATATATATATCCAATAAAAAGGTTAGTGGAAACATTCGATGGTGAAATACTCAACTTATTCAATCCTTAAAAAGGAACGATCGAAATTCATTTCCATTTGACAATAAATAGAAGAATATGACTATGAAATAGGATCTCCACTTCAAATAGATGAGATATGTCTTACATCGTCTTAGATAAAATAAATAAATAATTAATTACATTAAGAAAATTTTTGTAATTTCTTTTTATTACTGTCGAGCAATATCTAATTTTCCCTACTATATATGCAGTAAAGTCTAAACGTGATATCTAAACTTTTTGGCAAATATTTCAAAGAGCCTTATCACAATATTCAATTTTATGATTTATTTCCAAGCTTCTTTCTCACTTTCTTCCAGTCGAGAAACTTTGATGAGCTCCCTAAACACTAATGTAACTTTGGTAAATCATAATCATAAAAAAGCCTGTGTCTGCATCTGAAACTACTGTTAATATACAATTGTATTTCACACTCCTCTTTCTAGCACTTCAGAATATCAAGTTTGACAATACATTTGTTTCAATTTTTTTATTTACTTTTTCAGTTTTAAGTTTTAACATAAAATTAAAACATCATAATTTTATATGTTAACTCATTTTGTGGGTTGAATTCAGCTCTATAGGTGTGAGTGATTTTCATCGCTTTAAGAGTAATGTTATTTGTATATAATGATGACATGAAATAGATATAGAAAAAAGTTAGAAAGAAAATAAATTCAGTTTTTATAATTTTTCTCTCATCCATGTTATTACTATGTACATCATTATGGAGATATAGCATTACTTTGGATTCAAACTTAAACTTTATAGATAATTATCCTTACATTTTCGTACTATGTTTATATAGTTTTGACAATTCGATATAGACTCCTTCTTTATCATTCTTTGATCGTATCCATAGAAGGAGAACTGATTGTGAGCTATAAACATTTTACCTTAAAGCCACGATTTTAGGGCAATGCTCTTAATGTGGTTTTCTAAAGCTATATGCAAATCACTCATTTTTTCCAACAATATTCACCTTCCAGATAAGTGTTAGTAGTATATAAGATGAATTAAAACAGTGCTCAACTTCTGCATCGAAAAGAAAATAAGAACTCAAAGCTACTGAGATAATTGGGATCTCAAAGAATGGTTGTGGGATTTTTTATTTTTATTTTTTTCAGTTACTAAATTTGACCTGGTTTTCCTTCAAAAAATTGGCGCACCAGCACCCAAAGACCAGAGACCTGGTCTGTGGTCTATTGGTTTCATTTAAATAAACTATAAAATTAGGAAAATATCAAAACCCTACCCCCTACCCACCAAACCCCCGCTCTCCGTCTTGGTCCTTTCTTCGTCATCTCTCCAGTGCCACCAAACAACTGTCGCTTTGTGCACTTGGACGGCGTCGAGACATGGACGCTGCAATCATCGCTGCAAGATTGTGCTTTGTGTTGGCATTGGTGGATTTGTGACGAGGTAAGGATGGTTTTAGTTTTAGAATGTTGGTGAATCTGCGTCGATACCGATTTTGGAAGTTTCTAAAATCATCGCTGTTTTTATGATGGTTTGAGTGTGGTGTTGGTTGAAAATGGTGGAGGTGGTGATAGCAGTGATGGTGGAGAGTTGGTGGTGGTGGTGCGATTATGGTGGCAGCAGTGTGGATTTGTGGCAAGGTAAGGATGGTTTTGGTTTTAGAATGTTGGTGGATCTACATCGGTATCGGTTTGGGAAGTCTCTGAAATCATCGCTATTAGTATGGTGGTTTGGGTGTGGTGTTGGTTGAAAATGGTAGATGTGATGATGGCAGTGATGGTGGAGATCTGATTCATTGGTGAAGAGCTTATGGTGGCGACGCGGGTTGTGAAGGTGGTGGTGGAAGCAATAGAATGGAGACGAGGACAACGGTGAGGTGGTGTGATGATGGCGATTGTGGGATGCTGATAGTTTTAATTTCGATTTGTTGGTGTTGGTGGTGGTGGTGATATTGGCTTCGATGGTGGTCGTGGTAGTGGTTGTCTGTGATCACTAAATTTGTGAATTTGTGACCAATAAAAAATATAAATTGTAATCAAGAAATATTGTATGACCTAAAAAACTGTTCATCAGTGATCAATAATTTGATCATTTTATTACTGTATAATAAGTTGTGACTTATAATATTTGTAATTTGTGATCAATAAATAAATCGTGAATTATAAATTTTTTAATTTATGATCGATGAACAAACTGTAACCTATAAAATTTTTGAATTATAACCGT